GAGACATGGGCGTCCGCTACTGGTCGAAGGAGCGACCGGTATCGTCGTTACTGGTACGTATCCCTGTAGAAACCAACTCCGCCACCGCCACCGTCTCCTGCGTCGTGCCGTTCGGTAATTGCGGACGAGTCGCTAAACATGCAACGACATTCTTGAGCACGCGATCCGTCTCCGAGTTGCTTGCCTTCTACCTGGCAGATCGGTGAAACCAGTCGAAGGAAAGAGGAAGGCAGAAAAGGGAGACAGAAGCGACTGACCGACGAGTCCAATCGAGAAGAACGCACAGAGATATCGTAAACTTATTTGACAATCGTCTACACGCACGCGTATGCGTAACACACGACTCCGACGCATTATCGACAAATTCTGGCGATGCGAAGAAATGGTGCGAGGAAATTTGATCTCGATAATAGCGATCGGATCGTTTTCTATCGTTCCTTCGACGAAGACGAGCGAACTCGTCTTAGGGCACAGTCGCGTTGAGTTGGCATACTCTTTCGATATGGATATTGTCTCGCAAAAAGATAATATAAATATAAGACATATGCCGGTATCTGGCTAAAGATTCGGCATTGGTTTCGAAGTGAGTTGGTCGGGAAGATCGGAGAGGCAAAGGGAGGCAGAAGGAGCACGAGGGAGCGAAGGGGATAGCTGAGAGATGGCGAGTTCTTATTACGACGTGGCCGTTCGTCGTCCAATTAGAGCCGTCTAATTGGAGGCTCGTGGAGGCGCGGGGATGACGGAAGTGGCGATAAGACCGGGTGCAAGTCGTCACGGTGCAACCACCGGACGAAAGAACGATCCGAGGAGAACGCCAGACTTCTGGCACACAGTCGAACCGTGCGCGCGTACACACCAGTGACGTATCCAAACGTATGCGGCCCTCACAGAGCGAACCGAGGCGCGAATATAAATCACGCTGCGTTACACCCGAGCGTGCGGGTATATCGCGGCTGTTTCACGCACGCATGCATATACGTACACGCACGTCGCATGCACTTACTTTTCTCTTTCTCATCACTTATCCCATTTTTCGCTTCTTTCGTCCTTTCTAGTACGATTCTCTTTCCGCTTCGTCGCATCGTCTTCCGTTGCCGATGGTTTCGCTGCCAAAGCAATGCGCGAATCGATCGGTTAACGACAACGAGTTTCGTAAACTCGAATACCGATGATTTTCGGTGTACGTGGTTGTTGGCGGATTGAAAAACGCGTTTGTCTGCTCGTCACGACTGTCCGCCTTCCAAGTGTGCTTACCTCTGCTAATTTTCGCTATTTGCCGTGGCGAGACACAAGCGTTAGAAGTACCCAGCCTCGAGTTTACCCATGCACTCGTCTATGCACGCATGCACGCCACGGTGTACCTTTCGCAGGCGTGTGCCTCGACGGAACTTGCTTTTCGAAGCAAACCGACGAACGCGCGATCTCTGTGCTATTTGTTTTCCTCGCCGCTTGTTTTGCGTTCATGATCGGCAGAAGGAGCGGAAAATATACGACGAGAGGATAAGGGTGCGGACAGATACAAGGACGAATTGAAATGAGAAAAGAGACAGAGGTCGCTCGCTGTGAAAGACTGGAAAGATGGAGAGGAGATCGTGTGCCGTCTTTAGAGTTGGATGATATTCGCTGGCTCGTTGTATGAATAATTAAGATTATGTTTCGGTATTGGCCTTTCGCTAACACCGACTGGCCCATATACACGTAAAGCCGAGCGCGAGCTAATAATATGCGTTAAGGATTACCGGCTATATACGATTATATTCGAATACATTGCCATAAAGATTTTAAACGATCTCAATAATTTCCACGGACTTTTAACGCGGTCAAGAGTAAGATATAAGCGCGGTAATTAATTCTCGAGTTGCTTTTAACGTGTATAACTGGGCAATTTATATCTGTCTCGGTAAGAAGCGGTTTCAATTTTGCTGCTGGTCTATTATATCTGGTTGCAAAGATCGTTTAACGCTTGCGTGGAAAAATTCTGGATCGGTCGTTTGCACGGTTTTAATTATGCCCGGGATAAACTCTGGCAGTACATGCTCCGACGATACGTAGAGGATCGTGAATGAAAAAAGGAGACTACTTGCCGTCCATTACGTGATCGAGCGATGTATGGTGTGAAACGACGTAGGCAGCTATCTATAGCCTTCACCTGTGCTCCAGACCGCCCCACACCGCGGCGCACCGTAGCATGCCGCGCCGTATTTCGCCAGCTCGAAACCACTCGATCGAGCACCTGTCGGTGTATAGCTAATCCTACAACTCCGGCTATAAACGAGATCACAAACGCGCTACACGAGTCGCGTGTCCTCGTTCATTGTTGTCTCGATAGCCGCTTCGCTTGTCGGACGCGAGTCTCCACCTTCGTTCGTTTTACCTTGCTTCTTACCTCGTACTCTGCCGTTTCGAGTTTCGATGAGTTTATCAATCTGTACGGTTTAATCGTTTCGCGCGACCAGTTTCTTCCTAGAGTTCGTCGAAAGCGGAGCTTTTCGAGAAACGATAACGCTTAAGAGCGAAAACCGTTCGAGTTTTAGTAGGTCATCGAAGAATGGTAGATGTGGACGAAAGCAGGAGAGAAACGCGTGAGATATAAAAGAGAGAGGTCGAGGCGGAGTCTGTAGTTATCTGTATTCCGGTTTACCGAGAACCTATGCACCTGAGATGCATAACTCTGGTTGGTGTGTGGAACGCGGGGAGAGAGCAGTGAAACGCATGCCAGGAGAGGGAGACGGAAAGGGAACTAACCATTTTCACGATGCATTAACAAACATTTTATAGCCGAGGCTTGCGCAAAATAATCCTTCGCAGACGGTGATCGCGTTTCGATAGGATATTTATCGTCGTCGCTGTTTCGAAAACACCATTGTTAAAACACGTCGCATTCTTCGACGCGCGCAACCTGGCCTCGCCTTCGTTCGAACGAGCGAGAAAATTGCCGCGAACCATGGTAATGCTACTTCGACCCTGATGGCAAATCATTTCCGAGGACGGTAAATCGTTTCCAAAAAATTCTTTGTTTTTCGATCTCGTTCGGATTCCGCAGCGAAACCCTTCCTCTTCCTCTGTTCTTTTCTTCCTTTTCTTTATTTTCTTCGGAAATAACAACGGATTCGTCTAGCTTTTGCCTGTACGATTCTTCGGCCTGTATACACGCGTAACGTTGAAAGGATACGATGCGACGTTATCGGTAATTGTGCGGCTTGCTATCTCGAAAACTTAAACGATGCTCGTAACTTACACGTAACCTAATGGAGAACTGGACACGGGAAATGGAAGAAAGCTCGTACGTTTCCGTTGCAGAGCGGAAGATGAAACGGAAAATGTCTGCTAAATCGCCTACGCGAGTGGGAAGCACGTAGAAGAAAAAATCCGATTCTCTCCGTGTTGCGGTTGGCTTTCTCCGGCACGTCGGCGATACAGGAATTCTGTTACTCCTGGGAAAGGAGAAGGTTGGAGGCCCCTGATTCGCTGTGATTTCTGGGACGATATACACTCGGTGCTTGTCGTCGTGGATGGAACGAACGTGCACCGCACAGCGCGACGCGATCCTATCGGTAATTGCGACCAGCTGTACCCGGCAGGAGTACAACAAGGAGACGACAGGAAAGAGACGGAGAAAGGGAGAAACTCGGCAGGTAGAAAGAGAATTCGATCAGCTCGCGATTTACGATCGAGAGAAATTACTGAAACCGAATTTCGCGTGCGCGCTGCCAAGCGAGCGTTTCTCGAGGAAAGCGAGACGGTGCGGCGTGGCGAGCGGTAAGCGGTGGTAGGCGACGCGGGAAAGAGAGCAGACGAAGTATGGCTTAAAGTCGCACGAGGCTTGGCGTAACGTAATAGTCGCAGGTGCAGTTTGACACGGCAAAGTGGTATGCTGATGCAATTAGCAGAACTTACATCTATTCTGTCTCTACGCCTATCTGTATAAGCATAAGTCGCAACTCGCGAGTGTAGTACGGCGCGTATAACGATAAGGTAAAGCGACCATGTAAAAGGAGATGGAGAGAGCGATAAGCGGTAAGGTTGGGCGGAGGTGGGAAAGAATGAAAAGACAGACTGCAAACGAGAAAGAGAACGCGATGGAAAGAGACGAGAAGAAGATACGAGAGGGAAAGAGAGCCAGAGTTGAATTGCGCTGTTTATTAATGTGTGCCAACGGAGCGTGTCTGTCATGTAGGTTGGTTGGTAGGTAGGTAGGTAGGTAGGTAGGGAGGTAGGGAGGTAGGGAGGTAGTAGGTAGGTAGGTAGGTAGCTAGGTAGATAGGTAGGTAGGTAGGTAGGTAGGTAGGTAGGTAGGTAGGTAGGTCGGTTGGTTGGTAGGTAGGTTGGTAGGTGAGAGCAACGATGCCGATCGAAGGAGACTGGTTGCTGCCGATGGTGTTATTGCTGTCGGCGTGATCTCTGTCGTTACTGGAACCAACTGAGTCCGGCCCCTTGTATACGCGTCTTCTCTTCGATTCGCTTTAATTAGAGCAAGTTCGTGTTTACACAAAGATACGTTGCTTCTAGGCAGAAAAAGTCCGTAGGCGCGACTGCATTGAATCTGCCACGCCGTACTTTATTCTCGCCGAGGTCTCGTTGCCGCGATACTCGCGCTCATGCATGCGCCCAATTATTTCAGAACTTCCAGTTTACCCGTACCGGTCGTGCTGTTTTCTATGCGCGGTTTGTCTTGGTCTTCGTTCTTCGAGGACGAAAGAAATAGTCGGACCGAATACGAGGATGCACGAGGGGACGTAATCGATCGATTAACGGGATCCAGGGCGACCCACCGGCCACGGCCGATAACTAATTGGTCGACCGCGTATTCAGGGTAGAAAGATTCATCGGTGGCCGCGTTTGGTTCCGCAGATTAACTTCGCCCACGGGACCACTCGACCACAATAAGAGAAACGATCGATCAACGGTGCGCCGTCGACAACGATTCGTCAACGAGGTCGCCGAGTAAATGACGAAATTCGATGCGTCTCGGGTCTCGCAAACTTTTATCGCTCGCCCACAATTCACCTGAAATACCAATTAAAATACGAGCTATTTTTCTTTCTGTTGTATTTCGTTTCGTTTCAAGATGAAATTCGATCGATCGCGACGAAGAGAAGGAACAATCTGTTCGCTCGATCGATAATGAGACGAATCGGAGTTGCAAATACCGTGCCATGACCGTGCGATATTTCCTCGATCGAGAAAATCTCGCGTTGTTATTAGAGAGAACACGAATAGACAGCGCCTTTTGAATCTTATTAGCCGCATGCTTGTTAAGCTTATTACGCATTTATAATTGTGGTATTTTGGTGAAATTTTATCGGGTTGTCGCGAATCTGTCGCTTTATTACGCGTGCTCGGCCGTTGGTTCGTCGCGAACCAACTTTTTTCTTGCGATTTCTATGCTAATGCTATCTGTTATGTCGGGCGACCGTCTACCTAGACCAGGCCATACACCGCGGGCTAGACGGGAACCAGATGTCCGCTCATCCTTACTGTGTACACTCAATAATCTTAAGGACCCATCGTAAATCTAAGGAATTTTCTAGCTAAGGTCCTTCAGACCTAAGGAATATCGTTTTTCCAAATAATTTTCTAAAGGCTATTGTCTACTACGGCTCGAGAAGGGAAATTTAGTTTTTCTCACGTACGATGCTTCCCACTAGCAACTTTCTGTCGAGGGCGGCTAAGACGCTTCCAGTCCACCAACCTTCGTTTATCCAATCAGAAGCAATGTATACTGCCCTCATTTTCCTGACCAAAAATGTCATCAACAAATCCGATGGTCCCGTGCGCTGGATACACCCATCGCTAGCTTTCCTCCGACACAGCATCGTCACTGTACCTTACTTCTTCTACGCAGGTAGAAAAGTCAACTACTTCTTATACACCGCTAGAAAAGTCAACTACTTCTTATACACCGCTAGAAAAGTCAACAACTAAGTACGAAATCTAACGCCTAACGCCTAACGTCTAAGTCTAAGCACACCGCTAGAGGAGTATAATTCATATCAACTATCTAAGTCGGTTCTCGGGAATATCGAACATTCACCTCTATTAAGTATCCTCGAGTGCTACGTCCACTAACATACTAAATTTAACTATAAGAGCCTTGCTCTATTGTGCATATCTATCTTATATTCGTGCGACAAGTTGTTATCTACGATTTATACCTACTCAACAGTGTAACCTAAGTGTTGAAAATATATAATTTATAATTCTGTGAATCACAGTATTATACCAATTGAATCACCCCTATTATCTTAACGGAAATCAGGGGATCGATCAACTGGTGGTGTCGATTATTATAATCGTAACGTGAATTTACGAGTCCCGTTGACGTCTCCCCGCGATTGATCGAAAATACACTATCCGTTGGTACCCGTGGGTCATGACGGTATCCAATTGGCAGATTCGTATCGAGACCCGTGAAACGATAATTGGCTAATAGTATCGTGGCGATAATAATAACTAGAAAATCTGCGTGACTACTTTTCGCGCGGCGCTAAGCGTCTCGAGATTACAGTATGCCGCGTTTTAATAATCTGCGAGCATTAGCGCGGACCACTTACTTGCCCATAACGCTGGATATTTACATCGTCCCGACAATTTTATCGTTCTTCGGAACGACTGGCTGGGATTTCTCCGCAAGAATGTCGTGGACGATGGTCGGCGCTGCTCCATTCTCGCGGAGTAACGCGTATCTCGGACGCGAGTTCGGTAATTTGCTCGGTTTCACGATGATCTCGTCCAAGATGGAGAGATACAATTAATTATCGGCGATCAACCGGCGATCGACGATTCGCGGGAGGGAGAAATTACGGTGGAAAGAGACGATAGAACGAATACGTTGCACGAATGCGAGTTCTGCCGTTTCCGAGAAAAAGCATCGCGGAGAGGCTCTTTACAGGCAAAATCGTGTGTCAGGCAATCGATCAATCGATTCTCTAGGCGTTGCAGGTTATTACGTGAAAAATTCTTGTAGCTCCGATAGCTTCTCGCCGCGGGAGGGTTCGGACCCCCAGCGTACTCCTCCCTCGTGCTTCTCCTTCCACTAGCCTTTCCTCTTTCTTTCTTCCATCTTTCAGCCATCAACGATCCTCATCTATCTCGCGCCTGCTCGTTGCCGACCATCATTCTAGCTCCAGTCTTTCTACCCAGGATCCTTTTGCTCTATGTCTCTTTTTTCCTCTCTTTCCTTCTTTGATTCTCTTGACCTCCTCCTCCCTCTCCTCCTCCTCAAAGGTATCGTAACGTAGTATCCGCTCTATCTCTTTCGTCTTCGCCTCGTATCTCCTCTATCCTTCGGCAGCATTCTACGCTCTTCTCTCAGAGATGTCTGCCTCCTCGCCGAGCTTCATCCCTTCGCTTTTCAGATACTGTTTCGCGCTTCTTCTTCCGTCTAAACCCTCCTAACTCTCCCGACCACGCATTTCATCCGAGACATACACGCGAAATCTTGTTTCGTTCAGAGCTTCGCAATAGCGTAGAGAGAGCCGTTGCAATCTGCGCTTCCACCGCAAATACATTGTTATCTGTCTCGTATTCTACCATTACGAGGCGCCCGTTTTTCGAGCACACCCGAAAAATATGCAGGATGGTATCGCATTATCACGCGTAGTCTCGGTTAAGGGCTTACCACGTGCTCGTTGCACGACGTTTACGATGCATAAAACATACCTGGTTAATTTGTGACAAAATTCTCGCGTTGGTTTATTGCGCGCGCTCCTCTATCCACGCTAAATCGACGCTAAACGATCGCAAATGTGTTTCTCGAAGAAAATTTTACGAATCTACGTCGTGCTGCGCGTAACGTCGCTAACCTTACAAGATACAGATTGATGCGCGTGTTCGAGGATCGAGCGAATCGCCCAAGTCGATTATAAATTTCGCAAACATAGCTCCTTGGTATCGTCGTAAATTTCTCCCCATCGAACACTAACATACTCGATATAGGCGCAATAGGTATGCAGTCGTGGCTCGTACAGTAACTCGTGGTTATTGTTATTATCGATGTGGACTATCGACTATTAGCGCTACAGCCTCGTTTTTGATCGCTTCGCGCTTGAAGCGCATTCCATTTTTCGATGCGCATGTTTCGCGTGATCGAACGAATAATCGCCAAACGTTTTCGACGACGACGCTGTAACGTCAATTCACATCAGAGACCAGGCCACATACCACGGACAGGATGGCACCCAGATGTCTGCACATCCTTGGTGCGCACACTTAATAGTCTTAAGTACCCACCAGGGGTCTTGGCATTTTCATAGTTAAGGTCCTTCGGACCAAGCGAGTATTTCCTGTCTTAGATTCCCTTTACGTTTATTGTCTACCACGTGTTAGCTTAGAAAGTTGGTTTTCTTCACATTAGGTATGTTCTGTTAGCAACTTTCTCGCGAGGGCGGCTAAACCCTTCCTGGTCCACCAACCGTCTTATTATCCAATCGGAGACGGTGTCTACTGCCCTCACTTCCTTAACCAAAATTGTCGTCAACAAATCCGATAGTCCCGTGTCCTTAGACACACTCAGCCCTAGCCTTCCTCAGACATGATATCGCCAGAAAGACTCACTTATTCTGTATCCTCAGAATAGCCAACGTATATATACCGGTCTCTACCCTTATAACAGTCGCGTACTTAACGTATCGTTGTAACTAAGTCTTACATAACGTGGTTGGAGTGAATCGTGATGGTATGTTCTGTTAGCAACTTTCTCGCTAGTTTTCCTTACGTCTGGTATGTTCCGTTAACAACTTTCGCACGAGGGCGGCAAAGAAACTTCCTGGTCCACCACCCGTCTTATTATCCAATCGGAGACGGTGTCTACTGCCCTCACTTCCTTAACCAAAATTGTCGTCAACAAATCCGATAGTCCCGTGTCCTTAGACACACTCAGCCCTAGCCTTCCTCAGACATGATATCGCCAGAAAGACTCACTTATTCTGTATCCTCAGAATAGCCAACGTATATATACCGGTCTCTACCCTTATAACAGTCGCGTACTTAACGTATCGTTGTAACTAAGTCTTACATAACGTGGTTGGAGTGAATCGTGATTTATGTTAATTCAGCGTGTGTTACATTGTGATTGCTGAATTCATAATAAAGTTTAATTAAAACAAAGTTAATAGTTGTGTTACGACTCAGCTATTTTTATTTTTATTTTCATCAACCAACCCCAAAAATTACGTGACAACGCCGTGGTAAAACGGGCGTGCAGTTCCATAGGAGAACAGAACGCAGAGCAGAGTAGAGCGGTGCAGCGGTGCGAGCGAGTAGCTGGGTCGTAAAGCAGCAAGGGAACGGTGGCGATGCATTCGGTTGCAGCGTACCGTGCAACCGGCCGTTTAGCGGCCGCTTAGCGATCCGATTCTACCGATTAGAGGAAAAACCTTGCGTAAACGTGAGCCGCCGCGTTTGTTTCACGCCGGTAGCTATGCACCGGTGTGCATTATGTTCAGCCGCTTGTCCACAGCATTTGCTAGCGTATTTACCACCGTGGCTGATAACCGGTAATTCTGTCTCCGCTTAATTACCGGCGCAGAAAAAACTGGAAATGGCCTTACTTTCCAACGGATTTTCGATCGCAGCGTGGCTTGGGTGCAGCGGCCACTGCGGTCGATCCTCGAAACGGCGCCAATAACGCAAACGGAATTCGGAGGAATTTCGGAACGTACAGTCGAGAGTATCGAAGGCGGTCCTCCCTGGTATATAGTTGCGCGTTTCCGCGATGCAAGTCGAATCCTTCATTAGGCGCTACCGATTGGATGGTAGAGAGTAGTGTTGCATGCACGCAAGTAGGATCACTCGGCAAGAACCGTTCTCTGCACGCGTGCAAAGTGTTTCGCGGCCTGAGGGCATACGGAGATTCCAGATTCTCGACACCACTTATCTTCCACGCAACTTTCTACCAGTGGAGCAGATGAGAGGCACCGATAAAAACGCATGAAATATATCGACAGCATTTTATACGCGCACCGCCGATCGACGATCAAGTTATTAATAATCTTTTCGCATTTAGCTACCGTATCTACGGCGAATAATGCTTTTCGGCTGCGCCTATCTCTCCACCGTGCCTCTCTTTTCTCTTCTATCGGCCTTCTTTTTTATCGCTTTAGGATCGCTTTAACCAGAATGGGACGTCTCGACATTCTCGACACTCTTCCGACCGTTCGATCTTTCGCCGCTCGATCGACCTTCACTTTTTTTCCCCAACGATAGGTTTTTCGCAGTTCGATTGAATCGTATCTATTTACCGAGAAGCGGCTACGGCTAAACAGACGCGACGCGAACGCTGCGACGACACCTGCGTCCTATCGATCGTTTCGGTGTGAACCGATAAGGCGCATTTTTCACTGCGCTACGCCAATGCAGCCAGTCGACTATTCAGCCAGACAGCCCGTTTATATGAGACGGTAAAAACCTCCTACCGTATACGCACGCCGAGAGCTGGTTTCAATCGCCGCCGGCTACACGAAGATTCCAGATTCTCGTCATCGTCCGTCATTCCGGAGTAACTTTGCTCGGAATAAATCGGCTCACGCGATGAAAGTGTAACGCGATAATTATAGTAAATGGTGAGCTTGTATCGATCTCTGACCAAAACGAAACGTTCACCGACGCGACGCGCGTTTTCCTTTCCAAAACTCAAGAGAGAGAGAGAGAGAAAGAGAGGGCGAGAGAGAGAGAGAGAGCGCACGTTGGACACGAGTCCGAGAGTCGAAGGAAACTTCGTCGAGGATATATCGAAAAGATGAAGAGAGGGACCGAGCGATCGGTTCGAAGATTATTCACTTTCGAACGAGTCGAAACGATCGTAAATAGGAATTATTCAAATTTTCAATCGGTTGGCTGGATGCCGCGTATTTGCTCGGCTTAACGGTTCGCGCGAGGGGTGGGCTTTGGACACGCGTTGCACCCGGAGTCTGCGTGCAACGGGCGTTTGGCTGCCGCCTCGGGCATCTTCGGTATGACGGATTCCCAACGCCATTCATCTTTCGTGCGATCTTGTTGCCCGGAGAAACGGCCGATCCACGAAGATCCCCGGCTTTGAAACTGCGAACGAGTGACCGACCAGTCGAGCCACCTGCGTTCCACCAAATAGACCGCATCCAGAGACAACAAATCGTCTTTCACGCGCCTTCCCCTTTTCGCTCTGCCGTCGCCATAGTAAGCATAATTCTCTGCTTCTTTTCAATTAGAATTATTTCGCATCGCGATCAAGAACTGCAGATAATCGTTATTCGCGAACGAACGCTTTCAAGTTGAAACCGTGCCGCCGCGAAATGTTACGAGGGAGAATGGGCGGTAAGATTAAGCCAAAAATAAGGGACGAGAAATCGCGCGACGAGGAACGAGAGTGATGGTATTTCTCAATAAGTTGGCGGAGAAAATAATTTGTGGGTGTCCAGTGTTGGCGGCGGAGTTTGCGGTCTTGGTACGACAGGCAAGACGGTGAGGTGGAACCGAAAGAAGAGCGCGAACGTGAGCGAAGAACAGGGCGGTCGAGGAAGAAGAAGAAGGGGAGGATGTTGCGGTCGATGGTCGTAGATGAGAAAATGGGGTGGTAGAAGGGACGCGCAAAGGCTAAGAAGAAAAAGGAAATGAAAGAAAGAGAGGAAAAAGCGCGGACCCAAAGTGTGGACTTTATTAACTCTGGCTAACGTCACACGGTTCCTGGCAAGTGTACGATGCGATCGCTCGTAAATCGGGACACTTTTGTGGAGGTGCGAGCGCGCTCGCCATTTCTTCACGAATACGCCGGAGGATCGGCCATCCCGAAAAGGTTGACTTTTCGAAGCGATTCTTCTGTCGGAGGGAAGGTTCGGAAGTCCCGTTAGTTCTTCTCCGCGCGAGATAACATCGCTGCCCTTTTTTTCTTTCTCTCTTTCTTTCCAACTTTGCAACGTTTGCTTCTTGGATTTCCGGGCACGAAGCAGTGGTTTACACGAGTACGGGACGAATTATTAACTGCGTCAGCCTGCCAGGGCGCCTCCGTGGTTCAGTTCGTCCCTGTCGAGGTTCCTCCGATCGAATAGATATTCTAGCTAAGACGATGCGCGATAATTCAACGATGCGCCACGAGATCGTGGAGACGAGACTATCGCAGCTTCTTCCCGGCGTCGCGTCAAACGAAGAAAATGCACGACGAACGATCGGCGTTCCCCGATGGACACACCTGATTCCTTAAAGGTGAGAAAAAGATCGCAAAAGTGGGGCATCGCGATTACTACGAGTGCCGTGGGATTTCGCGTTGTTAGACTGTCGAGCGGATTTAGATACTCGGCGCGTCGGATGCCGCTCGGTTCGGTTGTGAAATATACGAGTAGCGTAAAAGGAAGAGGGGTAGTATTGGCGTGTAGATATCTCTGGTAACGCAGCGACTCGCGCAGCATTCGCACGCAAATGCAGAAAATACTCGTGTAAACAGTGTGGCAGGCAAATAATAGCGTCAGCGTAGATGGTAGCAGACGAGAGTCTCGTGCGAGCATCGGTTGCGTTGCATCGTACAAGAGACGCATTCCGGCATAAAGTACGCTATAGGTCCTGCAGATAATTATCTGTGTCCAAGAGCTCGACCGGTACCGGGACTCCCCCGGAACCTCCTGTTTGGACGTACGCGGAACCCTCTTAAATCCTGAATCTCGTAAATGCATAAATAAGCCCGTCGCGCGTGACACCGCTTGATCTGTCTTCGCGATTCTCCTTCTCCTCCTCCTCCTACTTCGTAGCCAGTTAATCGTCCTTCGATTCTTTCCTTCGCATGAGTTCCTCGCGGCTAGCTTACCGAGCGATGAAACTTTGCCGAGATTTCTGAATGCGTTTACGGCACGTTCATACGCGTCCCGGCGGAAACGTTAAACGATTCGGATACGACAGACCCGACAGCAAATCGCATCGATGCCCAACCTACTTTTCTGTGTACGCGTGCGATCTTGATGTCCTCGTACGTTCTAACGAAGTCCGTTTCTTCGAAGTGGAAGCGAGGAAGCGTAGCGATATTTCGCGCCTTCGACTCGCAGGAGCAAAGATTCTCGTTCGAGGCGTGTTAATCGTAGCGTAACGTCATCATCGACGACTAGGTTCCCGGCCGCGAGCTGGCGAGGGTGACGAGAACGGCGAGATACATGTTCTCTCAAACAGCGAAACGATTTCCCCGACATGACACCAGGATCGGTTCGATTGATTTCGAAAGGCGGCAAGAAAATTGACGCGCCGCTGGGAACCCAGACCACTTCGTTTCGAATCGAATCGAATCGCGCGTACTACTTGCAGGAA